CTTCAGAATTGTCCATCTGATGGTTACATTTAGTGGTGTATTTCACAGCAGACTTGTTATTTAATGTCTCATTGAATTTCTGTGATTTCTGTATCAGTGTTTGGAAAAACATGTGGTTCTGACCCTTGCTCGATACCTGGAAAAAGAGGAGCGCTTCCTTCCCCCACCCAGGTAAGAGTGCCTGGCTGTGCAGACACACACACACACACACACACACACACTCCTGCTGAGTTTTGTAATAAGGTTTAGTGTGTCTTCATATGTGTCTCAGCTGTGCATTAATCCAGCATTAAAATAGTCCCAAATAACTAGTATCTTTTTGTATTAGAATTGTTTGCGGAAAATTACTGTGGACTTTTTAAAAAAAGATTTATGCTATCAGTAGGAGCCAATCAGTTTGGCTTAGAGCCATAAAGTCAGAAAGGAAAGTCAGACAGTGTTTAGACAAACCAACACACCTCTAGTTTGGGAATTTAATGGCAAAAAGAAACAGAAATTCACACAAGACTTATTTTATAAGCGAGTACAATTAATTGCTTTGTGTCTCTATGTTTGTTATTAATCTTGATTCATTTCTAGAGAATGCATTTTTAAAATGTACTCTTCTGTCTTTGTGGTCCACTGATTGTGTTTACATCTAATGACAAAGTGAATAGGCAAAAGAAAAGAGAAAACAGAGATGTAAAAATGAACATCTGTGTGAGAACTGCTGGTCACCAGGAAAAAGAGCAAATATGTGAGGAAGCAAACAACAAGCTTTTTCAGCTTTTGTTGAAGCTTCATACTTGTGTTCGGTAACATGTGAAGAGAAAGGAGCCCAAACACTGAAAATCACTGATTTCTAAAGATGCCATCAGGCTTGAGATTGTCCTGCTGTGTCTCACTGTTCCTCTTGTGTGTCCTTAGTATCAGAGTGGTGGTCACCATCGAACAGACGGAGGACGACATCCAGAAGGCTGTGTCTTGTATCAAAGAGGCAGCGTCAGCTCTCCTCAAATGACAGTGTAATATTTGTTACTGCTCAAAGTAAGCAGCTTCAGAAGGAGTCTTCTCCATCACTGTGAGAAAAGCATTCCTCCTACACAGACTCAGCTCTGCACACTGAATGTGACATGAGGATCTCTTTTGTTTGTCTCTTTGTAATTCTCTGCATTTGTTGTCATTTATCATGTGTTATACTACATGTGCCACAAGTGGGTTTTTAGCAGGACTGTCAGAACTCATTTTTCTGCTGTAAACAAAAATGACTTTCCACAGACCGAGTTGTTTTTGATTTTTTTTGTACTGACCAAAGATGAGACTTTGTGCATATTTTTTCTGATATGTTTGCAGTTGATGTTAAGTTTTTAAATGCCAATGATTGTTTTACCACAGATGCACTCTTTCAACACAAATTTACTACTGGATTATTTGTTCTGTTTTGCAGTTCTATGTTAGTTCTCTTTTTCTGTGTCACTGCATTTCTGACCATTTACCTTTTATTAACAGTAAATATGTCTCATTTGAAATGTATTATGTGTCTCTTTATTATCTGGTTTAAGTTAAGACAGTTAATAAGATTCTTTTTTCACCTTTCATGTTTTGACCAGATCACCAAACAAAAACCCAGCAGGACTTTTTTAACTGCGGTATTTCCACAAGATGATCTGAGTATGTTGTGGAAATTGTATTATGATGGTCCAACGGCTTTGTAAAGATCTGTGAAAGAAAATAGAACTATCTAGATACCGGTGTAATGCACTGTGAAATTCCAAAATTGCAATTGGATTGACATTGGACAAACATTTCCTGTCAGTATAAAAAGGTTGAATTGAGACCAGTACGCATGTGGCACAGCAGCTGTGACTTCATCAACACAGGATTTGATGGGAAATTAAGTAAAATATGTCCTTTAACATTTGTGACAGGTCAACTGTTCCACACAGATTCCAGGTTTATACAGTGGAGTTGTTTGTATTAAAGCTTCCCTGGATGAACCCTGAGCTCCATCAGAGTAGTCAGGACAGTTTTATTAAGATCAGATGGTCATTACAAGCAAAATTATATAAAATGAAGTATTTTGAATTCTATGTGTCTTTTAATGTGCAACAACATATTCTTCCTCTGATGCTCCATTTTATGTTCCTCTCTCTCTCTCTTACATTAGTTTTGAGGACCAGAAGAATGCAGCACTATGTATTATTTAGGGTAATGAATCAGTGGTGGCCTGCAGGACCTACAGGACAGACTCTAAATAAGAAATGTCAATAGACAGATCCATTGGTGGGGTACATTAGAGGGGGACATATTTAACTTAAAATAATAAAATACTTAAACATCCAAAACAGGATGGCAACCAGTAAAATCATTTTAGAAAAAAGAAATATGATAGAACTATTCAGAGCAGCCAAAGGCCACTGGAAAAAAAACTAAATACATATTAAGGTTTTCATTTAAATTACCAATGGAGGAAGAACGTGACTGAAAGAGGAAGGCTGAACCAAAGGTTTTTCAATTCTGTCAGTCTGTCAACTCTGTATATATCTAATAGCCAGTGTTGGGATGCAAGTACATCTGTAATTCTTTCCATTGCTTTGGTACCATAGAGGAATGGGCAATATCCAGGTATAGACCAAAAGCTCAATGATGGATAAATGCTCTGCAGCGGCACCTAAGTTTCATTGAGTCTCATTGATGGTATTGATGTCAGTGTCTTTTAAAAGCTCCTCCAGTAATACTTGTTTCCCATCTAGCAATCATGTCAGTGAATTTTTGTCATTACTTTACTCCCCCCTGCCCCGAGTTACAAGTCGACGCACATCCTCCTGGTCCCTTTTCCTACAAATATCTAATTGGCTACCTACTTTCCTCCCACATGTGTTTACTACGTCTCCCGTAAATGTGTACTGTTATGAAAATAAATGTACAGATTTGGAATTCAGTTTAGAACCTTTCAACTTCACACCTCCAGTTTCAAAAGCTTTCTGTTCTATATGTGTCGTCTCTAAGACCCACCTGAGCCTCTGGGCTATTTTCTCAGACTTGCCACAGAAGACCTGAATACTGTCAGATTATTCCTCATTCCCACTAAACTGATTCTACTCTGGAGCTCAGCTTTGAGTAAAAATACAGATGTATTATCAACAAGATGTACTTAAGTATCAAGGTTAAACGTCTTCCTTATGTAGCAGAGACACCCTAGTGAGGATTGAGCTGTGTATAGATGATGGATGGATGGACGACTGGTACAGGTGAGGTGGAAGCATCCTGCAGTTGTTCTATGTTGGAGCATTTTAATTACATGGTCTGAGAGCACAGAGAAAATATGTGATATTTTCCTGCAAACCTGGAAATAATAATAAGTGTGGGGATTTTGAAGAATTTCAAAACAAGTTCTGACATGTCAAATGAAAAAATATTTCAGATTCCCTATTGCACTATTTGCACTATTTCTATTTCAGCAACTAAACTGAAACAGATTTGTGACAGTACCCATGTTAACTCCTTTATACAAAACCTCAGACTTTCTTGAGCTGTCTTGTTTCTAGCAGCATTTAAATGATTTGATCATCACTCGTCAGGGGCTTGTTTAATCAAATCAACCTGCAGTCATTGTTCAGCTGTTAGAAAAAATCACATTATTATTGAATTTACAATTACAGAATATAAAAGTAATATATAAGTATCTTCATTAATGGTCTCAGACCTTTGGACCCAAACGATGTGTGAGTGTGTGTGAGGACCTCAGTCTGTTTACATGGTCACATTAAGGTCATGTTTCTTCCTTATGGGGGCTTAAAGGATGTATGTAAACAATTTAGTTTTTTGCAGACATGTTTTAAATATAGGATAAGGTTAGTTTAAAGTTTAGGTTTGGTTAAGCTGTCTCGATGCTTTCCCCTGTTTTGTCCAATGACTCAGCAGTTGAACTGAGGAGTCAAAGGCAATGCACTGGCCGTCACATGTTGTCAATACGTTCTAGTCACATTTGTCATGGTGAGTGTCATATTGTTTCCCCGAGGTGTTTCTGACTTTCTCCGTTTCGTTCGGGTTTGTTCTGGTTTGTGCTGTTGAACAGAGATTGTGGTCTCCTTTTGGGCATCTGCCTTTGAATTTTGTCTTGTTTTCTTTGGTGATTGATTAATACACTTTCCTCGTTGCATTGTCTTGGTTCGTGTCGTACTGTTTCCCAGAAGGGGTTTTGGTTTCTGATTTTTTCCATTCCATTTGGGCTTGTTCTGGTTTGTGCTCTTGAATAGAGATCGTGGTCTCCTTTTGGGCTAGGGTTAGGCAAGTAATAGTTATTGTCACATTAAACCTCTATGAATTCAATTATTTTGTGTCAAATTACAACATACAGTGCTGTGAACAAGTGTTTGCCCCTCTAAAGATATGTTATATTTTTGCTTATCTGTCACACTTAAATGTTTCAGATCAACAAGCTAATTCATATATATAACAAACATAACCCAAGAAACACAAAGCAGTTTTTAAATAATTACATTTATTGAAGGAAAAATTCCCCACCTTGTCCTATGTGAAAAACTAATTGCCCCCTTAGCTACCAATCTACCGAATGGTCAATGTGGGGTTCAGTTTCACCAGCGACACCCATGTATGATTACCATCAAGCTTGTTGAATCCAAACATCACTTAAATAGAACCTGTCTGCCATTGTGAAGTAGCTAAAGGGTCTCAAAGAGCAGCACATGACTCCCTGTTCAAAAGAATTTCAAGAACTGATGCTAAACAAAGTCATTGACATTTATCAGTCTGGAAAGGACTATAAAGCCATTGATCAGGTTCTGGGACTCCAGAGAACCACAGTGAGAGACATTATCCACAAACGGAGAAAACATGGAACAGTGGTGAACCTTCCCAGGAGTGGTTGGCCAATTAAAACTTCTCCAAGAGATAAAGGCTTGTCTGGTATTTGCAAAAAATATCTGGATGAGCCCCAAGACTGTTGGGATGACATCCTGTGGACTGATGAGTCAAAGGTGGAACTTTTTGGAGGAAATGTGTCCTGTTACATCTGGCTTAAAGCTAATATTGCTTTCCACATCACACCAGCAGTGACATGTGGTGGTGGTAGTGGATGGTTTGAGGCTGCTTTGCTTCCACAGGACCTGGACGACTTTTCATAATTGATGCAGCCATGAATTCTGCTCTCTATCAGAAAATCCTCCTGGAGAATGTCCGTCTATCAGTTCATGACCTCAAGCTCAAGCACAAAAGGGTTCTGCAGTATGACAATGACCCAAAGCCACCAAAACCATCTCATGTGACTGATTTAAAACTATTCTGTATAGAAGAGTGGGACAAATTCCTCCATGGCCATGTAAAAGACTGATCATAGGTTATCACAAATGTTTCACTGCAGTTGTTGCTGCCAAGGATGGCCCAAGCAGTTATTAGGGTTAGGGAGGCGATTACTTATTCACAAAAAATCTTCAATAAATCATAATTTCAAAACTGTGTTTTGTGGGTTATCTCTGTCTAATATTTATTTAATGTTAGACAGAGATAACATATCGTACAGGGAGCCAATGAAGTGAAGCTAATACAGGACACATGATCTCTGTTATTGGTTCCTGTCAGAACTCTGACTGCAGCACTTTGGATCAGCTTTAGGTTGAAAAGTTACATAGAATTATATCACAGACATAAAAGGAATTGAGCTTTTGCCTCAGATGAATCCTTTGTTGACCACCTTTGACAATCAGTTCTGTGTTTACATCAAACTAGCTGTGAATCAAACATGCTGCCAAAATACTAGTGGGAATTCACAATTTCAACTTATTTATTGTCTTTAGTACTTGCTTTTAATGTGTCATTGATCTGCCTCAAATTGATGACTACCTCCTTGAGTTTTTTGACACACTAAAGTAAAGGAAGTTATCATCACACCATTTCACAAATGCAGGTAAGACACTGTCGTGGTCTGAGTCCTGGTCCTGAGGAGGAGACAGGACGGAAGTGTCATCTGAGAGATATACAATATAACTACCTTCCTGAGACGATCTACAACCGTCTGCGTACAGTTAAACAAAAGCAGCGGTGACCTGGCACAGCCCTGGGGTGAACCTGTACTTAAAGCCTGGTGCTGGACATATGTCCATTCACCCTAAACTGCTGAATTCTGTGTATAAGAAAACCTAAAAGCAGCAATAGAGGCTGATCAGGCAATTTAAAATAAGATGCACAGCGGTCAGTTGAAATGTATAACTGTGTCTTATTAACAGTAGAATAAATCTGCAAATAAGATCCTTGCATGAGACCTCAGTTTCTCAGGGTGCTTGTATACTCTGGCTTTCTGTCTGCATAGTTCTGCATCCTGAACAGCCTTACCAGCTTGGTTTGCAAATTGTTAGAGGTCTAATTTGCCATTGATAAGGAACACCAACATATCTTTTATAACCTTTTATTAAAAAAGAAAAGAAAACTTCATAGCAAGGGATGTAATGCACTGAAGTAGTTCTATGATATTTTTTGATTTAGGAATAGGTATAATGGTGGATGTTTCCAGATTTTAGGTATCTGGCCACGTTCAGACACTTTATTGTCCACAGACTGCATCAGGATCTGCTGACTTCTTTTTTCTTTTCCTGACACATTCCTGGGTTATCACACTGTTATTGTGAGGTAAATGTTTAAGCAGGAGAACATTCCCAGCAAAGTCAGTTCCTCAGTGGGTGGGAGGGTGAGGGAACACTTAAAAGTATCTGGCAAATCTCCTTAAGTTGTCTGTCTGAGGCCTCCACCCCATTCTACATCACAGAACATTTATTAAACCCATCTACACACGTCTCCCTCATTTCCACACGTCAGAATGGCACAAATCTAACTGTGCTGTGGTGACCTATAGACGCTTAGTTCTTGTTTTCCACATTCATGATGAGAAGGTGGGCTGGCTGTTAGAATTCCTCGGCTCTGTCTGTAGATGGGGCCCTCTACAAAAGCCTTGCCCTCCGCCTGCAGCCCCAGTGCAGCAGCAGCAGAGGCCGGAGCCGACTGTCCGCCGATCAACGCGCCTTTGTGCTGCGCCGCGAGTCCGCATCTGGTCCGAACCTCCGCCGCTGGTGGAAAGAAAACAAGCAGGAGAGAACCGAGCCACCAGCATATGGGATCGTAACTGTTTGCATGAGCTACTCTGAGTCATTTGTTAATGTGGTGCTGAGTGAACACGGACGCCATGGCCAGCTTTCTGAAGACTCTGCTCTGGATGCTTTTCTGGTCTCCAAACCTGAGATGTGACGGTGAGTTTCTTTTCTCCATCTTGAAGAAACGCGAGCAGGGATGCGGTGGCAGCAGCAGCAGGCTCAAAGCGCATTTTGCATCAGGTTGCTTGTGCCAAACTTGGCTTCAGCGTGTTTTTTTTTTTCCAACGCAAAATCTAACTTTATTCCATAGATGGAGCGTTTGTGCTTTACTTTCCCTCGCAGCAGTTAGAGAGGTGCAGGCTCTGCAGATGTGCTGGAAGGCGGAGATTTCACATCGCTTCCATAGAAAAAGTTGAGGATTTCTCCTCAGTGAGAGTTGGCATCCTCTCAGCGCACAACTCTTCCTGAGCCGCTGCTCAACTTTGAACATGAGCCAGTTTCCAGCTGCATGCACATTTCAGCTTCATGTTGGGAAGGCTTTCGGTGGCTCTAGGTGAAGGCCTGTGTGAGTTGGGGGTTGGGTGGATGAGGGGGGTGGGGGTTCCTCCTGAGAGCCTCTGACCACTTCACCACTCTTTGTACTTGTTCGGTTGCTGACACGTGTAGCTGCAGCTCCTGGCCTGTCCTTGTCATGGTAATTGGAAGCAGAGCTCCAGGTGAGCTCAGTCTTTGTCAGGCAGCCACCGGCCCTGCGGGGGGTGAGAGCAGAGCAGATTTCCTGTTTTCAGCTTTGGCTCTGAGGACTCACCATTTGGTATGAAGTGAAAGGGGGGTGGGGCGCAAGGGGCTCAATGATTAGCACCTTTCCCCCTCCTTTTTGTTTCTTGGATGCAGTCTTTCTTTCAGTGGTGAGTTATCAGTGAGGAATAAAGACATGATGCTCAGATCCTTGTCTCAGAGGTTCTTCTACAAGCTCCACTTGTTAAATTGAGGAACATTCTGAAAATGCAATTCACTATATGTGACTTTGCCACATGTGAAATTATATGTGAGGCTCCACAAATATCTGAAAACCCCATGTGCATATGGATTTGATTTTAAAATGCTTGTGTACATTTTTTGCATGTGACCAGTCACTTTTCAAAACCATATCAGATCACATTTGTTGAGTTCACATGTGTTTTTTTTTCAGAATATGCATTTTAATACCTGCACATTCTCAATAATGTGATGTTCAATGAACAGTGTTCCCTCATTATCTATTACAATGCTTCATATGTGCTGAGCAAAAAAATCCTAAACTCCTAATTTTGATGTGTTTTTTTTATCATATCGCCACAAGAACAGTTTTTTTCCATCTGCCACCAGCCTCATGAACAATGCACAGGCCCCCCCCTGCCCCCTCTATATCTGTATAAATGTAAATAACAACATATCAGCACCCTCAGGTATTCTGTAAATAACACTACTACTCCTATTTAAATTTAACTTTGATTCTTTGCAATATGACAGTTGTTTGCACTATTACAATTATTTTATTGTATATTTATTGTTTACTGTATATTTATTGTTGTTTTGTTGCACCAGAACAAATTCCTCATATTGTGAGAACTATACCTGGCAACAAATCTGTTTCGGATTCTGATATCTTGCTCATATCGTGCTGAGTTAATAAATACAAATTTAGAATAACATCAAAGCTGGTTTCACAGCACTGCAGGTCATTTCTTCCAGAATATGATTTTGGTGTTTCAAACTTACTTTTTGCTGCCATTGGTCTTCATTCACTGAACTATAGAAATAGAGCTGTAACACCTTGAAGATATGCTTAACTTGCATCTTAACTTGCTTTGACACAACAAGATGTCAACAACAATATGAACAAATGATCTGCAACTGCAAGAAAAGAAACAGTCACAACTTTTTCAGTATTTTCAATATAAAGAATGAATCGGAAAGAAAAACTGCCAAATGCAAATCTGATTAACCTGAATGATCCTTTGTCATGTTTCATTTGCAGTAACACAAGTTCTGAATGTAACTGTCATCTTTTATTTTTAACTTTAGGTTTGGAAGAAACAAATGTCAGAGTAAAACAAAAAACTTTTAAATGTTTTGGGGGGCATTTTGTCTTTAGTAGATGTAGACAGTGAAGAAAGACTGAATCTTTGGAGAAAAACAGCAAAGAGATGACATGCAGGGAAGCTCAGGGACGGCTGGGATGTAGCTCAAACCCTAAAAACTTGACTGTCAGGTTGCCAGGAGGTGAAAAGTCTCTGATTTCACAAGATAATACTGACCAATTCTACATGGTAGTTAAGTGGTCAGCATTTGAAGTATACTTGAAACTATGTGAGAGCGATTTGAGTAACAAGTCAGCAAACCAAAAGGATGTGAAGCACTGTATGGAGGTACAGCCAAAAACAGCTGAGATTCAACACGGCAGCTATGAATGAAGTGAAGGCTTGTTAATAATGAGTCCCATAGCAATATATGTATGATGTGTTAATGCACACTAGCCCGGCCAGAACGGGCAACTCCTCTGCTAACAGGGTCAGTCGGCCTGCCACCAAGAAGAGCTCACACTGACTGACAGCCTGCAGTTGCTCTGTCCACTGACAGTTCCAACAAAGATTTTCCACTCGCTTTAATGGTGAATTTAAAGGAGTTGTTCGGTTCCTTTGATGTGGGGCTGTATGAGGTACTTATCCATAGTCTGCGTATTACAGCTAGCACCAGTTTGGAGAAGCCGACAGAATGACCAGCATGAAAGCTTTATAACAGCTTTGGTTGTATCTTGTAGCTCTTTGCTTTGGTTCTTTTGGTTTTTATACTCCCCAGTGTAAGGAGGGATTCAGACCAAAAACATGTCCGCATTAAACCAGCACAGAGGCTGTGTTGGTCTGTCAGTGTTGTTTAAGACACTGACGATACAGTGGCTTATGATTCAGGAAGTACAGTTAAAACAGAATAACATATTAATGAATGCCCTTAAGAACGTATCTGGCGAGTATTCACAACAGCAGCTATTTATTCTGTCACCTCAACAGTCGGCAGTAGAAATGCTGTGCTCATGATGGTTTATTGAAATTCATCATAAAATGGGCACTTTATGTGTATCAGAATTGTTTTAATAAGCCCCACAGGAAGCTTACTCATGTCATACTTACATGTAAGTCAGCAAAGACATGAGCCAGATTAAGTACCAGACCAACACAATTAAAAACAACAACCCCAAAAATGGATTAGCCAGACTGACATGGAAGATAAAATGAACACGAACAGTCACATTTTTACACACTGTTTGTTTCTGCTCTGGTCTACAAAACCTCTTTGTGATGCAGCTCTGAACTATAATATAATGAATATGTAATGAAGGAGGATTATGGTCGTCCACGTTTTCAGGTCAAAGTACTACCTTGTTTACAACCTGTAAGGCTGTGTCTGTTCATATTTGTTGTCTTGCTAGACATGTAATAGTCATGTAGCCACATTCAGAGGTCTTAATGATTTAAGTAAGTATTTTCAGTGTTTTCTTGAAAGCATTTTGGAAAGCACACATAAAACAGAGGGTCACATTCATAGTTAGAGGAAACAAACTATTAATATGTGCCCCTTCAATCAGTTTGTGGGGGTTTGATAAACACTTTGCCACTCTGAGGTGGAAGCTGCCTGTGTTTGATCTGTTGTATAAACTAATGCCTTTCTTATTTAACTACGGACCAGACACTGATGTCACTGACAAACACAAGGAGATGTATTCAGCTGTTGCATTGCACACATTGTGCAAGGTTTTCCCAAAGTGTTTCTTCCCTCCCATCCTTTACTCTCTGACACCCTGATTTAACTGTTATCTACGTTGACCCTTTGTTTAGGAAATGTTTAGCAGCACTAAACATACCAGAGGAGTTAGCCAGAGGTCAGGCCATTAATCTGGTGTTTGTGGAAATATAAAGGAGTATTGAAGGCCCTGTGTTTACTCAATTTTAGAGCAAGGAACTTGTAATTCCATTTTAGATGTAAAAACATATTTCGGAGCAAAAGTAAGACAGTTGTTTTAAGGACAAAAAAGGAATAACACATAATGCTATGTAAAAGGGAATAACACGATTAACTTTTGTTAGAAACCAGTCTGCTCCTCAGCCGGTTGCATTTCCCCTTATATAGAACACAGAAAAACACACAAGATAACTGGAGCTGACGCTGTAGCATCATATCAGTGATTATCTGTGGGGTGTGTCGGACTCAGCGTGTGAACAGAGCACAGGATTTCTAGAGAAATTAGGACTTCCAACCGTGGTTAGGCTCCGTCGAAGAAGCTAAGAAGCAAACAAAGCTCCTCCAAAGTCCGGAAATGACTACTTTAGTTAAAGTTTGTTAAACGATGAATTCTGAAGGATGGAGAATCTCCTGCACGGTCTGCCCTGTGACTACATTTGGGGCACATGTGGACCACAGACTTGGGTAAATTTACATCACATGTACGCAGAAAGCATGAGTTGACCTTCAAGTAGACAACTGGCTGAAAAGACTTATCTATTTGTGCTACTGTAACATGATGTTTTAGTATGTCATTGAAAGCCATTTTAGTGGTTTGCTTCAAGAACAATAACAGCTACATTTACCATACTTTTTCAATGTGCACTCAAAATGGTCTCAAATTTTGGGCTGCAAGCAAACACCTGTACAGGTGTCTGCATTGATCTGAGGTTGAACTGTCCAAAAGCTGATTATTGAATTCATGTGTTTGTTAATTTTCATAGTTTTTCTATGCACAGGGGTGAAGAAAATAGCGATCTTGTAGTACGTGTACCACCTCTCACTCCCTACATAAGTCAGGGATTGTGGTTTGTTTTTATCTCACAAATCTCACCTGTAGTGCTCTTAAGCTCCCTCATCAAAGGATTTTATAGCTTAACTTTTGCCGAGTAATCCTGACTTCAGCAGTGGTTGTGGTAAGTTGCAGCTAATTACTGGCTGGTGACAAGCACTCAAAGAAGTGTGAACTGGAGGAGGGCTGCTTGGATGTTGATATACTCAGAAATGGGCTGAAAAATACAGACAGAGCTACCGAAAGACAATAAGTTTATTTTTTATTTTTACGTTTTCAGATGCAGATTTATTTGAGTGATCAAAAACGGTGAAACTAAAACTCC